GCATGTTAGATACATGAACGTAATCTTTTGGACTAAAATAAGAACAGATTGGTGTTTCTTGTAACTATAATGAATCATGCAAGAAAAGAACTCTTCTTTTACGAAAAGGAAGTTCACACAAAGAGTCATTGCCATTGTTTTTTTTCTGACTCATACTAAAAGGATCGAAACAAGAACCACATTCTTGGTTATCAAAATGCCCATTTCTCTGACATTACGTATTCATATTGCTCTTCTTATCTCTCTAACCGCTCTCATCTGCCCCAAGCGATGCACATCGCATGCCTCACTTACGCTAAGGCTAATACACTCAAAATCAATCAAAACCCAAGAAGCACCAAACAAAAAAACTGGTTACTTAAGTCCCAAGACAATCCCCGCTTCTCCTCTAGATAACTTGTGGACCACGGAAACAGCGGATATGGTCTCACATGTCACTCCTATTCCGAATCCAGCATCATTCCTCGCAAATATTTCTATCGGCAACCCACCGATCTCGCAACTCTTACTTATAGACACAGGTAGTGACCTAACTTGGATTCAGTGTCTTCCTTGCAAATGTTACCCTCAAACAATTCCCTTTTACCACCCTTTAAGATCTTCCACTTACCGTAACGCCTCCTGCGAATCCTCACCACACGCCATGCCTCGAATCTTTCGGGACGAAAAGACCGGAACTTGCCAATACTACCTCCGTTACCGGGACTATTCAAGCACCAGAGGCGTATTAGCCGAGGAAAAGCTCACACTTCAAACATCCGACGACGGTTTGATCTCTAAACATGGCATTGTTCTTGGATGCGGTCAAGACAACTCCGGTTTTGCTCAATTCAGCGGCGTCCTTGGTTTAGGACCCGGTAAATTCTCCATAGTAACCCGCAATTTTGGTTCTAAATTCTCTTACTGCTTTGGCAGCTTAATGGATCCGACTTACCCTCACAACATTCTCATCCTCGGAAATGGCGCCAAAACCGAAGGCGATCTAACGCCCTTACAAATATATCAAGACCGTTACTACCTTGACCTCCAAGCAATCTCCCTCGGAGAAACACTTCTCAATATTGAACCCGACGTTTTCAAAAGATATGGTTCTCAAGGAGGTACCGTCATCGACACGGGCTGCTCACCGACGATTCTAGCTAGAGAAGCTTACGACACACTCTGAAGAAATCGATTTTCTTCTAGGAGAAGTTCTCAGGCGCGTGCAAGATTGGGATCAATACACGAATCCTTGCTACGAAGGGAATATGAAACTTAGTCTCTACGGATTTCCTGCGGTCACGTTCCATTTTGTCGGCGGTGCTGAACTAGCATTAGACGTTGAGAGCTTGTTCGCTAGTAGTGAAAGTGGAGATAGCTTTTGCTTGGCTATGAATATGAACTCGTTCGATGATATGAATGTGATTGGTGCCATGGCTCAGCAGAATTATAATGTTGGTTTTGATCTTAGTAACATGAATGTGTTTTTCCAAAGAACTGACTGTGAGCTTCTTGATTCTTAACATCTCAATGTTTTAACACGGA